GCTGGGCCTGTGAGCCATGGCCGCTGAGCCTGCGCGTCCAGAGCCCGGGCGCCCCAGGGGGGGAGGGCAAAAAAGAGAGAGGGCCCCGCAACCCAAAAAAAAAAAAAAAAAAACAACTTTCTTAGAAAGTTTTTTGCCTGGAAAAATTTTAAGATTCATGAAAGTAGAAAGAGTAAACTGCAGCCATAAACATTCTGCCATTCTTGTTTCACCTGCTAGATCTTGATGACCCAGAATATCTCAAAAATATTTCATACAGTTGGATCAGGATCTTGGAGATTTTTTTTTTTTTTTTTTTTGCGGTACGCAGGCCTCTCACTGTTGTGGCCTCTTCCGTTGTGGAGCACAGGCTCCGGACGCGCAGGCTCAGGGGCCATGGCTCACGGGCCCAGCCGCTCCGCGGCACGTGGGATCTTCCTGGACCGGGTCACGAACCCATGTCCCCTGCATCGGCAGGCGGACTCTCAACCACTGCACCACCAGGGAAGCCCACATCTGAAGATTTTTTAGCTCTTTATTTTGACATAGTGATAGATCTACAGGATATTAGATCTTTGTATCTGGAGTTAAAACAGCACACAGGCTGAATGCAAAAGGTGAGTGCTTTATAAGCAAAGGCATGCAGGAGAGCTGGTGTCTCTGAGCTCATCCCAGCCCTTCCAAAAACCACTTATTTCACAAACCAGAATGGGAAACTATAGGAGAGAGAATTTGTAGCCAGGAAGAATGACAAGGTCCATCACTTCATAATATTACAGTTATTCTGGTTTCACAGAAAACATCCTTGGGAAAATATTTCTATACAGGGTAGGCTGTGGAAATCACACTTCTACCAAAAATGAACTGTAACTATTAATGGGACAGATTTTTTAAAAAGTTTCCAATGTGATCAGAGTCACCTACTAACACCATTCTCTTCTTTCCTACTAACAGAGACACATTGTATTCAGGGTGACAAAGTGCTCAGCTAAAAAGACCATGTCTCCCAGCCTTTTCTGCACCAGAGCTGGTTCCAGGATACAGTTCTGGCCAATGAAATGGAAACAGGAGTCACTGGACAGAGCTTGCAGAAAGCTCTGTAAAGCCTTTGAAGTGTGATACTTTGTTAGAAATGCAGAATCCTAGGGTAAATGCCAGCTCTTCACCTGAAAACGATCTACTTATGTGGCAGGAAGAAAAACCCATGTACTGGTCAGTATAGGTGTGGATAAGGAGACCCTGACATGTGTGGTCTTTGATGTAACTTGGAAGACTGCAATGCAGACATTCTTATCCAAACAGGTTTTAACAGGCTACCACCTAGCTTGCGGACCCCACTTATTAAGATCAAAGCCCCTTTTTTGAATTCTGTGATATAGTTTGATTTTCCACATACTTTCTTAGAGGGAAAAGATGTGTGACCAACTTGCAGAAATAGTCTTGTTGGCTTGCCAGATATATTTCTTGTTGTAAATCTGCATGCTGGTTAACTATAACAGCTTGGAAGTTACATAAATGTCCAACAATAGGGAATCAGTTAAGAACAAAATTCATTATAGAACATATGTAGAAGACGATGCAGGAATTAAAAAACATGACGTAAAAGAGCAGATACTGCTATGGGAAAATGTTCACAATTGAGGACATTTTAAAAATCAGGTTATAAAACAGATGTACTAAATGATTCCAGCTATGTTTAAAAATATATATACTCAGGGAAAAAAAAAACTGGCAGAACCTTACTAAACATGGGATTATGTCTCAGGGTGCAATTGGAGATGATTTGTGTTATTTTGTAATTTTGTAAATTTACGTCTCTATTTTTCTGTATTTTCCACATTTTCTGTCATGAACAATAATTGCTACTATAATTGGAAAATGAGAAGCAATGAGTTTTTAAAAAATTATCACTCAGATTACCTTAGGCAAGTTAATCAACCTCTCTGTACCAGTTTCTTCACCTATAAAATAGGGATAAAAGCACCTCCCCCTTAAGGTTACCAAGACAGGTAAACCCTCAGAAC